CATTTCAGGCAACAGCGCCCCCCAGAGGGAACAGCCAGCATTTCAGCGTTACAGACTCTCAGACACTGGGCTACTATATTTATGATGAGCGATAAACCTGCCATGAAAGAAAAAGGCTATTGTAAAATACCAGCTTCTGATATGCCTGTCATCCCAACCACTTTCAATAACTGACAGAAAGCATCAGTTCCTTTCATTTACTAAAACAACAAAATTGATTTCGTCATTTATTTTAGCAAATGATGTCCTCAGGAAAAGGTGTTTTAGTCTGAGTGATTTTGTTACTTTTTGATGGCGGCTCAAACATACTTGTCTTTGGTATGTAGGTAGGCAAATTTCATATAATATGTCTAGAAAATTCTGTCTAGAACAGACCCACTGTCCCCCTAAGAATGAAAACAAGCCTATCAAATGTTCCTTAATCAGTTCCTTAATTCTGTCTGAACCAGCTCTAGGTTGCACTAGTAATTAAAGAGCATTTATAGCTGGCTAACTCCAAGAATGCTCATTTGCCATTTATGCAGACTCTAGTGGTTCAGCTAATTCAGAAGGGAATTCATTAGAAAAGCATCATTTTTGAAACCTTGTTTATTGTCTCTTAGAACAGGGCACAGATTGTGTTAATTGCATCTGGAAAATAAACAAAGGATTTTTGAATGCTTCATGGTGACATTTATGGGACTGAGGCAGCGGTGAAAGTAACTTAACATTTCTTACAGGTCCTGTTCTATTGCAATCCGGCTCCCTGCCAGGTCTTTAACTAGCTCCCTGCTGGCTCTTGCCACAGCTCAGCCAGCTCTTGCCGGAGCTGCACACCAGGGTGCACCCATTTACTGTCCCTCTGGAGAGAGGTAATACTGCACCTGATCTCAAGATATTTCAGTTTCTAGGCCTAGGGTTGGAAGAGCATGAAAGATTCCTAATTTAGATGTTTCCTTGAGGCAAAACAAAAAAAAAGCAACCCACACAGGTCAAAATAACAGACCCATAAGCAAAGATACGTAGGTCGATTTAGATTTATCCAGATACCAATATAGATCTGAGTTTGTCTGACTTCTGCTGCCCAAATACGAGTCTAATGGAAAGCAGTTAAGGAGCACTGCTGTGCAAGGTGGTAAAGTCCTTCAGAAAACATTCATGTTCCTCCAACACTCATTGCCCATGCTTGTGAAATGAGCCCAAAAAATTCTTTTCAGCCTTGGGCACTGGGGATAGACAATTGTATGTAGAGAGGCTGGATGAAGAACTTTAGGTGAGTTCCATTGGAATCCAGTGAGGACTTCAAGCAAACACTGATTCTCTGAGCACCAGAGGCGTTATCATAGCAGCATCTAATATTCCCTGAAAGTAAAGACATTCCTTCGGACTGTGTGTAGTCTTAATAATGGTTAAATAAAACATTGCAGGAGAGCTGTGATCCCAGTGCCCTGCCATGCTTGTCAACTGGTGGTGAGAACATAAATAGTTAATAGATAACCACTTATGGCTCTGCTCCTGTTAAATCCAACATCAATTATAAATGCTGCATGAATTATTCACTTACTAGTACTTAAACCCTAGTTCCCCCCTCCCAAACTAAATAAATAGAAACATAATTCTTCCTTGGTCCTATGTGGGGTTTGCCCCCTCATTCCACTCAGTGAATGTGAGAAATGAATGGAAGAGACTTATTTATTGCACAGATCAGTTTTCAGAACTCAGTGTTCTTTCGAAGAGTGCTAAAATCTGCATTTGCACTGCTCAGATATTCAGGAATATATAAAATGCAAATAGCTCATATCTAGCTGTAGTGAAGCCGTATCACATCTAAAAGGAAATTGTTTCCCACTTTTCCACTAACTTAAACCAGTTGCAAACTTTCCTAATCTCACTGTTTCCTCATGGAGATTTTTTCTGTAAAGGGATGTGCATTGCAACAAACAGAATGCTCTTGTGCACAGAG